TTCTCATTCCTCTTTCACCCACTCATGCACTCTCCTTCCAGATATTAGTAGATGTTTTCTTTTTGGGAAAAGACAGAAAAAAATATCTGCTGGTATTTGAAAGAGAATGTTTCTGTGACACTTCTTTCATCCCCAACTGGACTACAATTCCCATCTTCCCCGACAAGTGACCATGGAAATGGGGCTGATGCTCAAAACATTCAGAGATCATTAGACTGGGAGTCACTCCTAACCCTTTAACATGTCTACTCTTGATTTAACTTACCTCACATTCCTCTTAGAAGCAATAATAATAATAATAATAATAATAATAATAATATGGGACACAAAGCAGCTTACAAATTAAAAAGGCAGTGACACTACCTGTGCTGAAATATCACCTGCTAAATGCCAAATTCCTACCTATATCCTCTCTTTCTCTCTTAAGGGAATTTCACACTACAACAGTCCATTGATTCCTTATTTTCAAATTTCCTTTTCAGTTGTTTTTAACTGTAACTGCTAAAGAGATTTTACTGTAATAAGTAGCATATAAATATAAATCTTAAGGAACATGCTATGATTTGAATTCACACTTTTAATTCATTGGTTTTACAGGGATTTTTTAAAAATGGTTTTAAAGTTGTTTTTAACTGCAACTGTTTAAGAGATTTTAGTGTAATAAGCAGTGTATAAATATAAATATTAAGGAACATGCTGTAATAGAGATGTGAACTTCATGCTTTTAATTCGCTGGTTTTACAGGGATTTGTTAAAAAATATTTTAAAGTTACGTTCAACATTCTTTTAAACATTTTTATCTTTTAAATTGCATTTTATTCTTTTAATATGTAACTTGTTTTAATATTGCAATAATTTAATTCTGTTTCCATGTACTATTTTTGTATGCTTTTAACTGTACTGTTTTTTGAACGTTGTGAGTCACCCTGAGTCCCAGTTTTGGGGAAAGGGCAGGATATAAATATAAATATTATACTAATACTAACAATAACTCTTAAAACTATTATTTTAATTTTGTATATGTATGTGTATGTTCAAAACACACTGCAGAAATAAATCAGTTTGACACCGCTTTAACTGCCCTGGCTCAATGCTAGAGAATTCTGGGAAATGTAGTTTTGGGAGGACATTTGTCAGAGAGCTCTGGTGCCACAATAAACTACAATTCCCAGGAATCCCTAGCATGGGCGGTTAAAGCGGTCTCAAACTAGGTTATTTCTGCAATGTGTTTTGGACTGTAGATGAAGCCTTAGAAATGTTACTTGTAGTTTACAACTGTGGTTCATAAGTAACTTTTCCAAACTCTGCACCAAAACTATTCTACGATATGAACTCCACATCAGCCACATTATTATTATTATTATTATTATTATTATTATTAATTTCTTCCCCACCTCTCCCCACAGATCGAGGTGGAAACAACAACAATTAATTTTTAACTTTTTAAAAATCTGCAAGCCATCTAGGGTCCCGTCTGGGAGAAAAGAGCCATACAAATGAAATAAATAAAATAAATAAAATCTATCATGGGGTTTTCTTGGCAGGATTTGTTCAGATGAGGCTGAGAGTCTGTGACTTGCCCAAGGTCACCTAGTGGGTTTTCATGCCCAAACTGGGAACTGAACCCTGGTCTCCATAGTCATAGTCCAACACTCAAACCACTACATCACACTGTCTCTACCTACATTGGTTATGTCTAGTCTAAAATGTGAATTAATTTTTTGCTCCGGCCGCCAATGCAACTACAAAAGAGTTTCACCATTGAGATGCTATGCATGACATGGTCAGCATCTTGCGAGCTGCCTTGGGTCTCTTTCGAGAGAGAAAGGTGGCATAAAAATGAAATTAATCAATCAATCAAATAATAGCAATAAATAAGATTGCCAGAGTAAAAACTGGAGAGGCTCCTTTACCTTTAAAGTTGGTGTACAAAAGGGAATTTCAACAGGTGTTGCTTGTCATGATGCATCCAAGTAACAAGCAACACCTGCTGAAAATCCTTCTTCTACACAACCATTAAATGCACAGGAGCCCTCTCTAGTTTTCACTTTGGCACCCCTAAAGGCCAGTGCTTTTTTGGGGTTTTTGTTTTTGCATTTTTCCTGTTTCTGTCAAAAAGTAGCCCTCATTTGCCCCCTCCCTGCTTTCCTTTCACTGACAAGTGAAAAGCTTTTTATTTAAGTCTTTAAACCATTTTTTTAATTTTTGAATTGTATTTTATTCTTATAATAAGCAATCTATTTTAATATTGTAAGAATTTAATTCTATGTTAATGCACCACTTTTCTATGTTTTCAATTGCACTGATCTTTTACTATCGCGAGCCACTCTGGGTCTAAATTCTGGGAAAAGAGCAGGATACTAATACTAATACTAATAATAATAATTTAAGCAGTTTTTAACATCTAAGCAGAAGACCTTCTTATTGGTGTGTTTTATCTATCTTTTAAAACCTTTTTAAATATGTTTTTTATTGTTTAAAAAACAAAAAAATAATACTAAACCAATCTTGTTTGTGTTTATCCAACAACTCATTTCTAATCAGGCAAGTAAGTTTATCTATTTCCATAAAGTTGTATAATTTTAGAAGCCAATCTGTCAATATCTTTTTAAACTTTTGTATGTCTTTTAAGTGATTTTATACTGTTTTATGCAGTGATTTTGTGTGTTTAAAATTTTGATTGTGAAGCTTTTATTTCACAGACTCTGCCTGGGTGCCACCTTTGGCCTCCCTCTTTAAGAAAGGTGGCATACAAATTAAATTAATAATTAAAGAGTAAAGAAACAGCCCTTATTTTAAAGAGTGCTCCAGAGTATCAGTCTTTTCAATAATAATTGCTGCAAGCGCACTTGATAGAGACAAGTGTACAATCTCAGAAATGACAAGCGTGTTGACGAAAACCATGTAAAATAGACCTAGGGCCTTTGCAGATTGCCAGAAATAGTGCAAATTGAGTTCACTTTAACTGCCCTGGTTCAGTGCTAGGGAATCATGGGAATTGTATTTATTTTTTTCTGAGACATTGAGCCTTCTCTGACATTGAGAGCTCTGGTGCCACAATAAACTACAGTTCCCATGATTCCCTAGCACTGAGCCAGGGCAGTTAAAGTGGACTCAATTTGCACTATTTCTAGCAGTGTGCCTTTTAACACAGAGAGAGAGAGAGAGAGAGAGAGAGAGAAACACACTCAAAAAGCTAATTTCTACTTTTCACTAGAATAATTTTCAGATGTTTTCAATCCCACTCTACATATGCTTATATAAAAATAAAACCTCCTGCATTCAATGGGACGTATCTCAAACTGTGCATCCTACTTGCCCATCTATCTCCCCCAACCCTCCATTCAGTCAAAAAGGAGCAAAGAGAATTCTTCTAATCTTCTGAATTGATCATTTATTTATTTATTTTATATGCCGCCTTTCTCTCAAATCGGATCCAAGGTGGCTCACAACAGATAATTTAGCTATTTAT